GCACTGTGAGCTGTACTAAATGCTTTATATATATTACTTCCTTTGCTCTTTACAAGTCTATGAGTGTTTGGTGGTGACACCCATAGGTGCAGATGAAGAAGCTGATGCTGACTAACATACCTACTACCTCTGGGCATATGGACGTACTATTTAGCCTCTTTAGACCCGGTCTCTTCTTTATTTTATTTTATTTATTTATTTGAGAGAGAGAGAGAGAATGAGAGAGAGCGAGCACATGAGAGGGGGGAGGGTCAGAGGGAGAAGCAGACTCCCTGCTCAGCAGGGAGCCTGATGCGGGACTCGATCCTGGGACTCCAGGATCATGACCTGAGCCGAAGGCAGTCGCTTAACCAACTGAGCCACCCAGGACCCTAGACCCAGTCTCTTCTTCAATGTGGAAATAATAATACTGTCTCTCAAAGGCCTGGATGTAAGTGGGACATGAGACCACATTCTGAAGGCCTCTAAGACAGTGTTCGACATAGTAGAATCAAGATTCAATCATCCCCTTAAAATTCAGTTTCAAGGGGATATTTTGATGGGAATATTCATAACTACTAACAATACTATAGAAAAAATTATTCTAAAATGACTCGTCTTATTCTCCCCACTCCCTCCAAAAGATTTATATTACATTCTATAAACACATAGAATTAAGTACTAGTGTTTACTCTTAGCTACCATGTGTCAGTTACAAAGATATATATTTCTTATTTAATCTTAACAACCCTATGAGGTGAAATTATTGTTACCCTTCTACAGATAAGTAAAGAGATGATAGAAGAGATAATGTATTATCCAAGGCGCTGTGTCTAGAATATAGTTATGCTAGGATTTGAACAGAAACAGTATGGGTCTGGGGCCCCTCTGTCTACCCTGGGTCTTAACTAGAATGAAAATACCCAGTGCTGGCAAGCTTTGGCCAAATGCCTATTGGTAGGGAGTCATTACCTATCACCATAATTTTTTCAGATAGCAAGTGGTCGATATAAGTGAAAATTTTGAACTTGTATAGCTTATGATTCAGCAAGTGTACTTGGGGGAAATCTTTGCTATAGAAATAAAAGCACTAGTACCTAATATTTCTCTGTCACACAAACACTCTCATACTCTTTATTTTGGTATTCTTTTACTGGCAAAACATTGGAAAATCATCTGTCATTTGGGAAAAAAAAAAAGTATAATAAGAATGTATTAAAATATGGCCACTACATTAAGCAAAAAAAGCAAGTTTTTATTTTTATTTATTTTTCTTTTTAAAGATTTTTTATTTTATTTATTTGACAGAGAGAGAGAGAGAGAGCACAAGCAGTGGGAGCAGCAGGGAGAGGGAGAAGCAGGCTTACTGCCGAGCAGGGAGTCCGATGCCGGACTCGATCCTAGGACCCTGGGATCGCGACCCGAGCCGAAGGCGGACGCTCCACGGATTGAGCCACCCAGGCGCCCCAAGAAGCAAGTTTTTAAAAAATGAATAAAATTGGCGCCTGGGTGGCTCAGTTGGTTAAGCGACTGCCTTCAGCTCAGGTCATGATCCTGCAGTCCCGGGATCGAGTCCCACATTGGGCTCCCTGCTCAGCAGGCAGTCTGCTTCTCCCTCTGACCCTCCCCCCTTTCATGCTCTCTCTCTCTCTCATTCTCTCTCTCAAATAAATCTTAAAAAAAATGAATAGAATCTATTCCAGAAGGATGTAAAATATGCACCTCAAACTTAACCTACCTAAAATAAACCTCTTAATTTCTGCTTCCCTGTTGAAGAACAGCTATTCTTCAATAGACTGTAATAAATGGCACCACTATCCACCTAATTGCTCAAGCCAAAAATCTAGATTTATTCATGACTCTTTCTTCTCAGCTCCCACATGTAATCAATCAAGTCTGATTCAACATCCAGAACACCCAGAATCCACTCACTTTTCTTTGCCTCCAATACCAACCCACAATCTTCATCTAACTGCAAACGAGTCTCATGTGGGTCTCCACCTTCTACTGTATTACTATTACCTTCCCGTAGTCCATTCTCTACCTAGTAGATGGTAGACCGAGTCAACTCATTCCCCTTTACTGGATTCCAGCACACATAGGCTAAAACCCAAACTTCTTACTCTGACTCAAAGATCCCCACCCCATTACCACTCTCCAGGCCCCCAATATGCCTCTAGCCATATCCCTCCAATGCCCCAGTGCATTCTCACTTGAGAGTTATTTCTGTCCCCTCTGCAAAGAAAGCTCTTCCCCTTTATTTATTTATTTATTTTTTAAAAGATTTTATTTATTTATTTGAGAGAGAGAGAATGAGAGAGAGCACATGAGAGAGGGGAGGGTCAGAGGGAGAAGCAGACTCTCTGCCGAGCAGGAAGCCCAATGCGGGACTCGATCCAGGGACTCCAGGATCATGACCTGAGCTGAATGCAGTCGGCCAACCAACTGAGCCACCCAGGCGCCCTTTCCCCTTTATTTTTGTGTCTGGCTTCTTCTTATCATTTTGATCTTGTTTACATTTCACCTTGTCCAAGAGTGCTTCCCTAACACCAGCTGAAGTGGTCACAGGTTGCATTCCCTATTTTAATTCTCTGCAAGGCACTGACCACTACTGATAATTCTCTTGGTGTATTTATTCATTTATTTCTTTATTCGAATGTTAAGTTGAACCACAGTAAGGAGCCTTTGTTTTATTCATACCTATCTCTAATACCCAAGCCTGCCTAATGCATAATAGGCACTCACTGAATGCTTGTTGAATGGAAAGAATGTATTATACAATTGAGTTTTTACTAAAAGAGGCATTATTCACATATAGCTGTTTAGTTTTGTGGTAGAAGAGGAAAAAGTATGAAAATACTAAACAGTAAATATTAACTTCCTCGGGGAGGTGGGGAAAGGAAAATTAACTTTTTCTTCCTAATAACTCTGCATGGCTTGATTAGTTACAATAAGTATGTATTTCTTTTTGGAATTAAAAAATAATTCAATGAATAAAAAATGTAAAGAATATAATATTCCCTCAGCTGCGGAGATACTTGATTACATAGCTGGTTAGCTAATGTCTGTCTGTCTAACTCTAGAAGCAGATCAATGTGATAGCAATCTTGTACTAGTAATTTCTCCATTAATAAAGTAATTATTTAAAGATACCTGTGATCATAGATAATAGGTACTAACGTGTTTTGAAACTATAAAGAAAGAGGTACTGATGGTTACCAGAGGGGAGAGGGATGGGGAGATGGATTAAATAGGTGATGGGGATTAAGGAGTGCACTTTTCCTGACGAGCACTGGGTGATATATGCAGTTATCGAATCACTATATTGTACTCCTGAAACTAATATTACACTGTAAGTTAACTACCTAGAATTTAAAAAAAAGCTCAAAACCAAAACAAAACAAAAAAACCCACCAAAAAACAAACAAACAAAAAAGATAATTTTTTCTAATAAATTCTGAAATGCCCAATTAGGACAAATTATAGATCCAGAAAAAACTTTAAGGAACTTTGAGGAAAGCAATATTCATATGTTAAGTTTTAATGTGTTTCACATTATTTTATATTACCTTTTTTTTTTCTTGTGTGTTTTCCTTTTTTTTTTTTTAAAGGAAGGGGTGGGGGGGGTGGAGGGGTGCGCAGAGGGAGAGCGAGAGAGACCATCTTAAAGCAGGCTCCATGCTTAGCACGGAGCCCAAAGCTGGGCTCAATCTCATGACCCTGAGATCATGACCTGATCTCAAATCAAGAGATAACACCTTACACCAGTTAGAATGACGAACATTAACAAGACATGAAACAACAAATGTTGGCGAGGATGTAGAGAAGGGGGATCCCTCTTACACTGTTGGTGGGAATGCAAGCTGGTGCAGCCGCTCTGGAAAACAGTATGGAGGTTCCTCAAGAAGTTAAAAATAGAGCCACCCTACAACCCAGCAATTATACCAGGTATTTATCCCAAAGATACAGATGTAGTGAAAAGAAGGGGCACCTGCACCCCAGTGTTCATAGCAGCAATGTCCACAATAGCCAAACTGTGGAAGGAGCCGAGATGCCCTTCAATAGATGAATGGATAAAAAAAGATGTGGTTCGGGGCGCCTGGGTGGCTCAGTCGTTAAGCGTCTGCCTTCGGCTCAGGTCATGATTCCAGGTCCTGGGATCGAGCCCCACATCGGGCTCCCTGCTCCGCGGGAAGTCTGCTTCTCCCTCTCCCACTCCCCCTGCTTGTGTTCCCTCTCTCACTGTGTCTCTCTCTCTGTCAAATAAATGAATGAAATCTT